AGCAGGACTTTGCCCTCCCCAGCACCGCTCTCAGCTCCTGAGAATAGCACAGATCAGACCGGGGCTGCAGGCTGGAGCCAGCTGTACTGCAGCAAGTAGCTCCGGTGGTTAACAAGCATGTTGTCAATCCCTTCCCTGGGTAGATGGTTTGGGCAGCCAGATGTGTGCCAGGCTCCCCTCTGGAGGCAGGCCTGTGCTGCCAACTGTGAGTTACAGAGCGTCTGTGTCATGGCAGCCAGCTTTCCCAGAGGGGCCCCCCCCCGCCCGAGACTGGTATCATTATCCCCATTTTACACATGGGGAAACTGAGGCACAAATACGGGAGGTGACTTGCCCAAGGTCACCCAGCTGGGAATAGAACCCCGGTCTCCCGTCCCAGTCCAGGGCTCTATCCACTAGGCAACACTGCCTCGGTGGATGGGAAAGTAGAGAGGAAAGGTGCGCTCGTGGATCCTCAGGGTCGGTGCCAGGGCCTTAGCTGTGGAAGTCTCTGGGAGGAAGCCCTTTGCTGTGCCAGACCCCAACAGATCTCTCTCTTCCTCCAGGAGAGGCCACAGCCTCCCCACCTCCTGAGACTGAACCGCTGGGCTTCACCCTGTGAGCCCTGCCCAGCGAGTCCAGCTGAGACAGACCCTGGTAGAGACCCGTCCACTCCGCAGGGCCCGACGCCACTCAGCCCGGGTGACAGGGCCACTCCCCCAGCGTTGTCAGAACAGTCGGGTTTCTTAGGCACCTGGACCTCAGCCCGGGCAGCCCAGCCCACTGAAGGTTAAAGCAAGAGGCCGTTCTGGTCAGCCCAGAGCCCGGCCAAGCTGCAGCGAAACCTGTTTTCAGGCTCCGGGTCTCTCGCTCAGGGCCTGTCTACATGTAAACCCGTGCAGCTGCGCCGCTTCAGTGACGCCGCCTTTCTCAAACCCCCGAGCGATGCAGTTACACCGACCCAATTGCCTCGTGTAGACCAGGCCTCAGTCTGACCTTGGTCAGTTCTCAGGCGAGAGCTCCCAGCTTCCCCCACTTATCCCCCAGCTCAAACCTTCCCAACCCTGTGTTCTCGAGCTGGGGGCCCTGCTCCGATTCCCTGCTGGGAGCGTCCAGCCAGGAGCCATTGGAGATGTCATGGTCTTTCTGGCCCCCAGGCTGATGTGGGTCCGAGTCCCTTCATTTCACCAAGACAGGGAGGTGACACGGCCCCCCCGCCATGACTCTTACCTTTTCCAAACCTGGATACCTAAACTTTGACTCCTAACAATCACATGTAGGTGCATAAATAGGGGTGGGGTCAGTTGTAAAGTCAACTTTTTGCTGCCCTATGTTGCAGTGGAGCAGAACAAAGTAGCCATAAAGCTGCCCTAAGAGGCAGCTAGGAATTCCCCAGCATGTGCAAATCCCTAACACACAGAACTAGCATATATAGTGTACAGCCAGTGTAGCTGGCTGAATGTCACCAACTCCTAGCTTCCCACCCAAGTATATGGGGTGTGAGCTGGAAACAGAAGATGGCACACACAGTGTGCGTTGTGCTACAGCAACCTCCAGTGCAGCAATGGCTGTTTCAAGACAGCATAATTTAGAACAACCCAGAGTCTAGAGCTCAGGTGTATTTGAGGATCTGGGCCGGTAATTGGCTGATACCACAGTAATGACCCCTGAGCAAACAGTATCCTGTACATGCTTATCACTGAGCTTGTCCAGAGGCTACATGTCCATCAGAATGACTAGATGTCCTGATGTGTAATAAAAACGCTTTGAGTAATAAAAATCAACCCAGGCTACTTTACAGGGCCTCATCCTTCTCTCACTTACAGCATCTGAGCAGTAGTACAACGGCTAATACTGCCCAGTATTATAGTTGCCTCTCTCTTCTTCCAATTTTGGGTAGCGGGAGCGAGTAGTATAAGGGCCTTACTGTCAATCAAACATTAACCCCACACCTTGACCCAATAAGCCCTGCCCACCGGTCATTGGAAGTCCCACCCCATGGGGGTATTACTTCCGGGGTCAAGGCGGCACATGACCGGAAGCAAGGTGTGTCATGTGACCCCTCTAAGAACTCCTCCCACTGTCCTCTACCAATCAGGATGGGTTTTGCCCTTTATAGGAATTCCCCGAGAGAAGATTTGACCAATCAGGGGGAGTTCTGAGGTTTGCGTGACTCCTCTAAGAACTCCTACCACCACCCTCTACCAATCAGGAAAGGTTTCAGCCATTGGGGACCACCCTGAGAGGAGATTTGACCAATTGGGGGGAATTCTGGGGTGGGGTAACCAGTCCGGAAGTGGTTCATGTGACCCTTCTAAGAACTCCTCCCAACACTCTCTACCAATCACGATGGGTTTCAGCTGCAGAGGATTGCCCCGAAAGGAGATTTGACCAAAATAGGGCAGGTTCTGGGATGGGGTGAACCACCCAGGAGAGGGTCGTGTGACCCCTCTAAGAACTCCTTCCAATGCCCTCTGCCAATCAGAATGCAGCACCATCACCACATAAGTCCCAGCGCTGGGCAGAGGAGGCCATCTCTTATCAAGAAGACTGATTTTAGAAATTGTGGAAAGGCTGAGAGGAATCCTCTTTTTCAATTTCATCAACCCCGTCTCCCCCCAAAGACCTGTAGCTATATTTCAGACCAGGTGCTAGCTACAATGAGCCCAACTTGGTGCCATAATACACCCGTGTAATCCTATTATTAGATTCCAAGGCCAAAAGGGACCATTGTGATTATCCAGTCTGACCTCCTGCATAACATAGAACTTCCCCGAAATAGTCTCTGTTTCAACTAGAGTGTATCTTTTAGAAAAACATCCAATCTTGATTTTAAAATTGCTAGTGACAGAGAATCCACCACAACCTTTGGTAAATTGTTCCAATGGTTAATTAAAATTACCATTAAAAATGTATGCCTTATTTCCAGTCTGAATTTGTCTAGTTTCATTTTTCCCCATTGAATCTTGTTATACCTTTGTTTGCTAATGTGAAGAATCCATTATCAAAATTTATTCCCCATGTGAGTAGTTATAGACTGTCCTCAAGTCACTCCTTAACCTTCTCTTTGTAAAGCTAAATAGATTGAGCTCCTTGAGTCTATCACTAAAGGTATATTTTCCAATCCTTTGATAATTCTTGAGACTTCTCTGAATCCTCTCTAATTTATCAGCATCCTTCTTGAATTGTGGATACCTGATCTGGACACAGTATTCCAGCAGTGCTCACACGAGTGCCATAGTCAGAGGGAAAATAACTTCTTTACTCTTCTTCAAGATTCCTCTGTTTATACCTCCAAGGATCATTTCAGCCCATGACTCAAGTTTTTTTCAGCATCATTGCTTCCTTGGATAGAGTCTCTCATCCTGTAAGTATGGCCTGCATTTTTTGTTCCCAGATGTATACATTTACATATGGTCATATTAAAGTGCACATTGTTGACTTATGCCCAGCTTACCAAAGGATCCAGCTTGCTCTATATTTACTGCAAAGAGGTTACTAGGGTATATGAGAGAGCAGAATTTGGCCTAGTGCATTTTGTGCAGCCTCTATAAACTCTGAACAACTCTCCCTCTTGGTTTCTCTAGTTATGCTGCATTCTATTCAGTAATCTCTCTTACCTTCTCAGGTGCCCCATAGACTAAATTTCCCAGGCCTCTCACAGCCATCTCGCGGACAATGCTGTTCCTATCATGTGACCTTTCTTGCAAGATGCTCAAGACGGACTTAAGGAACTTCTTCTCCCTGAGCATAGGATCACTCATTAGCTGGGTAAGGAAAGCTGTGCTGGTGACTCGGAGGTTTTCTGTTGGGGAATTCACCCAGGGGAGGAGGCTCTGTAAGATCTCAGGTGTTATTAGTTCAGCTCTTAGCAGAACACTGGAAGACAAAATAAACCGCTTATGGGGTAGATTGCACACTTCAAAAACTCAGCTGCTCTGAGCATACAGCACTGATATCTAAGAATGGGAGCTGTGTGTTTCCACCCAGGGCACCCCCACAAAGCTATAAACTGGAGGTTCCCTCTCAGCCACTCTATTTGCTACTGATTCCCAAGGATAAAATGATGCCTCCTAGATCTCTTACCTCACCAGCAGACACACTCCCTCATGGTGAGTTTTGGGGTTTTCAAGCAGACTCCATGTTCTCTGCTCCCGGAGCGCTCTCCCCAGTCTCTCATTCCCAGCTCTGGAAAGCACAGCCTCTAATGCTTGGATAGAAAGCCTGGGGAAAGAGAGGTACAGAACTCCAGCACTCAGTAGGAAGGTGCAGCCTGAACAGAGCGAGTAAGCCCCGGTTACTTGTCAGGTCTGCTGTTCATCGACAGTCCATCCATTGGCAATATCCTGGACACCAGTGTCCCTGGAA